ATATATATAGATATATAGATATATACATATATATATATATATACATATATATATGTATATATTCCTTTATGATATCTATACGTAGCTAGGCTAAGCGGTGCTCCGCAACCCTCCGTGGAATTTGTTTGGATAGATCAATGTCAATGTAAGCGGTTCGCTCCTGACCCGCTCCGCCGCGCCAAGGAATTTACCCCTCCTCGAGCGCTTGCAGCAGCTCGACCAGCAGCCAGGCTTTGAAGAGCTCACCGTGGACCGGGAAGCGCTGCGGACGTTCTGCCTCTGAGAGATGGTGTAATTTTAAGGCGGCCTGGTGAGGAGCAGCCAAGGATCCACGGCACCCGAAGCCTCGTAGATTTCACGACACCTTGCCTGGACTCCTCGGAATGCTCTTTGCCAGAGCTGACTGCTTTTCCCCAGCTGTTTCACCCACACCATGAACGCCCATGACATCAGGATCCAAGGTACTCAGGTGATCTAGCTTTTATTGAGGCAAGAGCTGTCGTGGGTTGTTCTAGATCGGCAATGCTCGATTCGCGAACTCAATGGCAAGTCCAGGCTCGGACAGGCTGTCCGGATTCCTCAGACCCGACCAACCCAACAGCAAATTTAGGATCGAGTGGATTCGACCGGCCATCAAAGCTTTGCTCATTTGACCCTCGCGTTAGCCTTCCTACGTTTCGGAGGACAGCGGGTAGAATTGTATATGTCTTGGCCCCCTGCAGACAAGCACAGACTATCTCAGACTGGCTCCAGCTTTCCTGGAGCCTGCACTTGCCCATCAAGCAGAGCTGAGCTTGGGTCGAGCTCAAGCCAGAAGCCCCGAAAGGACCGGCCACTGAGCGCGATTTGGGGTTTTGAGATTCTGGGCAACCCCAAAAAATACAGATCCAATACTATTCTTACTTCCCGAGATAAGCGTTCTCCTCTGGAATGAGACGAGTATGATGCGGAAGTACAGCCTCTGAGTGGCCATCGCGCTCAGCTAATGCCTTCTATAGCTCTTGGACATTGGATCGTGAAGAAGTTTCACACCTATCGGAAAATGCATGATGTCCGCAATCTGTGACTTAGGCAGTAACTTAGGGGATTTCCCCTTGGATGCATCTGGGTTTCGATCTTCAGTGTCGAGGAATTGGGAAAGCTGGCTCTACTTGGTGTTTTCAGGGCACAGTCCTTAAGCTTCGACAGGGGGGGTGATCCGCCGTGCACTGTTGACTCCGAGAAAATTCTGAGACAGAAGTAGCTTGGTTTGGAAGCACTGTTCCACATTTCTGAACAAAAATCCACGCTCCCCCGCATTGACTACTGATTGCTGCCGAATCACTTGAGCTTACGGCCTCCATCCATGCCCGACCTACCACTTTGGCATCCCCCAATCCCAAACTACGGTCTTGATAAAGGCCGGTCTGGCCAGGTTCCGCGGAGCCTCCACCCCGAGCTCGCGTGCTGCAAGCCGCCCAGAGGCCACCTCGGAGAGTGCCTTTTGAGTCTTTGGCACTCTTCACTTGCAGAAGAATGCAGCTCAGATTCGCGCCAGGCCCTTGCGGACCCGTTAGCGCTTGGTGCGCGGGCCTCAGACTTCAGGACTATGCAAGTCCTAATCAATGTGCTAGTGCTGCCGTGGGCTACACAGCTGGAAGTGCAGCTGGCATACCTGTAAATGTTGAAGCCTCCCGACAAGTGCCGGCAGCTCTCGATCAAAGCAGCCAGCTTGCACTCTCGGACTCTTCCAGCGTGTAGACCTCGAAGGCTCAAGCTGGGCAGAAAGGCCCCTTAGGCTCAAAAAGTCCTCAGATGACTCCCTAAACCCTAAACCCTCAAACCCTCTCCCAAAAGTCCACTTTTGAAGGCTAAACCCTAAACCCTCTGCCCAAAAGCCCACTTTTGAAGGCCTTTGGAACCAGAGCTCCAAAAGAGAGGTCAGTGGCTGTGGCCTGGGCGACGCGGCGGCCTGGCCCGCGAGCCCACAGTCGCCAGAGCCCTAGCTAGTACTATAGTTTATGCTAATAATAATAATAACAAAAGAAGCTAGTAGAGTAGACTAACATTAATAATAAGCTAGTAGAGTAGACTAGTGACAATAAGCTAGTAGAGTAGGCTAATAATAATAAGCTAGTTGAGTATACCAACAAGAAGAATGAGCTGGTAGAGTATACTAAGAATAAAAAGCTAGCACTACGAGTACTACTAGTTGTAGGGATTTTTGAAGCTGGACGGATGTGACAGAAAGTCTTTCATTATGCCCCCATGATCTTTCTTATCAGGGTCAAGACGAGTAGGAGGATGAAGATGAAGAGGAAGAAGAGGATGGTGACGAGCGAAGGTCGCAAACGATGCTGATGAGAGCACTGCTGGATGAAGGTGGTGGATGGTCAGGATACGGGTGTTAATCATGGTGGTAACGATGATCCAAGCGCCGGCTGGAGCTTCAGATGTCCAATCCAAAGCTGTGCGATGCATACAGGCTGCAAGTGCCAGGCTTTCTGAAGATGTGATGTGTGCGTGCGTGTGTGCGCTTCAAAAGCTTACAACCGTTGTGTTGCATGATTTGCTTCTCCTTGGCATGGAGACGAGGCCGTTAAGTTCGGTACTATGGGCTGAAACTCAACCAGAGGATGCAGGCTCAGAACAGGCCTCCAGATACAACCAGTCATCCGAAGAAGGTTCACATTCAAACAGCTCAACGATCCGAAACGGAATAAAAACCTTCAGTTTCATGCTGCATCGAGGTGCGGCGGAACCCCGCCTACACGCCGTAGTGGGCGCCATCAGTCGGCAGAGCCGATGCAGATGGAAGATGTGGAGGCCCGTGCAAAGTTCAGTGAGCATGCCCATGGACAGAGCAGGCGCAGGTGTTTTCTGTCGAGAAAATAATGGAAAGCTCCGCGGAGTGTTGAGTCCGAGGACTGCATGAAATCAAGAAACGTGCGGCATTGACGTGCGTTGTGCTGCTCTCCATAATGGCTTTGTGTGCTGAAGGTGTAGCTTCAAACTGCCGGCAGGTAGAGGATCATGTTCTCCACCCGAGCTTTCGCCGCACCGATGCTGCACCGCCTCAGGCACAGTAATGTGGGAGGGGCTGTTTTCTAGAACAGGGACACGTAACGCAGGCCTTGTTGGGCAGGATCAGAAGGTATATACATACATATACATATACATATGATGGTTGTTGTAAAGGTCCGTGTCTACGGTTTGTACAAGACCGGCAAAGTGATAGGGTTTAAAGGGTCCGCGAAAGATCTCATAAAGCAGGCGCGAAAGGAAAACACTTTTGCGCGAAAGATGTGTCGACACACACGATACCACACTACAAGATTCAAACATGTCTTGCTTGCAGCTGCCGGCTTTGAAGTTTTTAGCTCGTGTGAGGTGCGGGGCTGCTAGAACGCTGTTACGATGCCGCCAAAGTACTCGAATGCCCCGCGAGCCCTAAAGCCTGTTCGTTTTTAGCTGTGTTCACGACACCTTGTAAGCCGTGAACCTTAAACCCTACGGAGAATGAGTTCCTGCACCATTGCATCGTTTCAAATCCCCAGCCCTTACTGACTTGAACTCCTGGCCTGCCGTTGTACCTTCTGCATGGCGAACATCTAACTTGAACGAGTCGTCAGTACTTGCCTTGACTCTTTCAAGTCACACGGATTCTGGAGTAAGGCTGTTGGAAGCTCATATGGTTCAATGTGTGGTACAGGGGACCTGCGGAGCCTAGGGGGTTGTCGTGGCAATGCGAGTGACCATGGTTTGACAGTTAGAACTCAGGATTGGGGATTTTGCAGTGGATTGCGCGAAAATTCCGCGAAAGACTCCACGAAAGCTCAAGTACGTCTACAGTTTCTCGCGACAGCATTGCATGAGCTCTGTCACTCGGACTTAAGGACAGAAGTACAGAAACTCATGAGGGCCATAGTCCGAAAACAGGTTTAGAATAGATGCAGGAGGCTGTTCGTAAGATACCATGGCCAGGGAAGTACTGGCTGGGTTTCCAAGCCTGTATGTATGCACGTATGCATTTTTGTAATTATACTGTATGTATACTGCATGTATACTACATGTATGTACGTTTGTATGCATTCACACATATACATATATGTGTAGTCTGAGTATGTGTGTGTGTATGTATACATGTGGCCGTAAATAAGCTCCGCGAAAGCTCTGCTTAAGTAGCCACGGAAGGAAAACACTTTTTACGTGAAAGTTCTCACATCTGGCCGCTCTCAGATAAGTGCTATTTTGAACAACCACCATACAAACATATTAATATACATATATATATATATATGTGTGTGTGTGTGCGTAGACAGAATAATGTGCACATAACACATAGAGGCTTTCTTATAGAAGAAACCCTTTGTCATGTGTACTGAATCGTCGGCATCATCTGCAAAGACGCACCGCCCTTCCGAGCCGCAAGCAGCAGGTTATCGTGACGAGATCGAACCAAGCTGCCCAAAGCCGTGTCAATCTCCGCCGCTCCGTGGACCAGCGGGCGTCGCTGCGCGAGAGAGACCGAAGTATGCCGCCGGGGGCCATGGAAAAGCCATGTTATGCCGCCGGACAGCTTGGAGATAGTGCATAACAGTCCGCATGAAAGTTTTGCTATGATCATGGTCCGAAAGCGCAGGCCTTCAGCACATGAAGCTAAGATAGCATGGTGTCAACTGATCTTGAAGCCTGTGTTCCCAGGTTTTCGACCTCATTAGACGTGGATTTCCTGAGTCTTTTTGCCTCCTGATCGGCTAGAGATCACCGGATGATGACAACTTGGCGCGGTAGTTGCAAACTATGCAGGCGTCCTCCGAACAGGGCAACCGTGCATCAGATCAGATTTTCCAGTGTTAAATGTACTGGTGATATACCTTGTCCCGTGCGTTGATCTTGGAGCTGAGTCGTCATCATCCGCCTGCTGGCAGTTGCGAGTGGACAGCCGCGCTATGGTCCGGAGTTGTGACTCGTTTCCAGCGCTTAGGTTAAGGCTTGGAGTTTTTTGGGGCTATCTGGTCTACAATTCTCGTTTTGGCCACCGAGCCCGGCCTGACAGTCTCATGGTTGGGTCCTTCAGGCAAACCTCCTGCCAGGGAAGCTCCACAGACCGGAGTTCAGCGTGTAGGGCGGGCCGGTCCACACACAGCTTGCCCAGATTTTTCAAGTAGGATTCCTACTGCCGGAATCAAGCACTGCTTGAGCTGGCAGGCATGGTAAGCCTTGCCTGCCAGAGGTTTGTCAGTACCTATATGCAGGCTAGCTCCGCAGAACATGTCCCATCAACCTCTGGGGCTAGCTGCTTCACGTCTCGGCTGCAAGGTGGCCACAACAAGTCATGGATGCGAGCATCTACTTCGGCATCTGTATATCCACAGTATCCCGAGCCAATCTAATGGTCAGAATGACAAGCTCTCTACGCCCATCGGAGGTTTGTCCAGATCGAGTTTCGTGATCCTGTCTTCATGCTTCTGCTCTTGGTAGAGGAAGTCTCCAATGTAGCATCGAAATTGTCAAGTAGGCATCTGAGTGGAGCAGTTGATGGTGGCAGCTGCTCACGCAGCACAGAGCTAGACATCACGAGTCACAGCTTCAAGGCAAAGGAGGTCACTGAGTTCGGGTTTCAGAAGCTCATGTGAAGGTTGCATGGAAGCTGCGGAGCGCGTCTCTTGCGGGAGCCCTGTCCAGCTGTAAGCCAACTATCTCAAGTATCCGAAAGCACATTGCTGTGGACCTTACACGGGGCTCTTGTAGACCACCGAAAGAATCGGTTCAGCGGCATCTGATCATTCGCTCAAAGACATGACCTCACAGCCTTAAGAACAGTAGAATAGTAGACTAAGAAGCGATGATTGTCGCCGCCCCCTGGCCCGGGCATCCAACGTTGGCTGCTCGGCTGGGTCTCCCGGGTATCTCCGAAGGCTTGTGAAGCCATGGTGGTCAGACTTCGGCGGTATGCAGCGTCTAAGTACCATCTTCCCGGCGAGGAGGAGGAGGAGGCGGTTTAGTGGAGCGCGAAAGCTCCAAGAAAGCTGAGATCTCTGCGGGACTCGATAGTAGCATGATCTCTGGGAAGTGCTTTACGGAAACAACCTGTGCTGATGGCATCCTGAGAGCCGTTTTATGATGCAGAACTGGGACAGTCTTCCCACATTGAAGATTACCTAGTGAGCGCCGGACCCCAGCCCCGTTTCCCAAGCTATCATCCCGTACTCTATTGCTCTCGGAGAGACCCCGCGCGTAGTTTCGTCTCACTTTCTTACTGCTCGATTCCCTGGCCTTCGAATGGAAAGCTCTTTGGCCCCACGACATCTAGTCAGAGCGTGCTTGAATCTTGTCTTTTTGTAACACCGTGCCCAGAAAGGAGTTCTGATGCAGTGGCAGCGAGACAAGTAGGACAGTTGGCGGCAACTGGTCAGATCAACAGTCTGCGGGGCTAACGACTTGATGCTGTATCGGATTGAAAGCACTTTTTTAACTTCGCTGGCAAACAGGGCCGCAGTGAGGATTTCTTTCGAGAGCTGGTGTGCAAACGGTTTCTCCCCTTGAAGCCACATGAGCGCACAACGAAGTCCCCAACGCTGGAAGCTCAAAGGGCCCTTCGAAGGCTTGGTAATCTCTTTTGCCTGCACTAGATGCTTTGGCAATGATAGGGTAATTCTTGCATGCTCCATCACAAGGAAAAAGCATTGCATCCGAAATCGCAAACCGACAACCATCTCTTTCAACGGCTTCATGTGCCCGGTATTTCCGCTGGTCTGCAAGGCGCTTTCCATCAGAAATATATGTACACTTAGCGAAGGATTTCTGTAATATGAATGAACTCAGACCAAGTTTGTATATGGTAACTTCGACAATTAAGTTCTAGATTTTAGCCTATTCTATGTATATTTTGGGTATCGCTGGTCAACGTCTGAAGACTTTTGAGTTTAAAATTTAGTTTGGTTTTTCTGTCGTATTGAGATGGTGGAGTATTTGTCGATTTATTCTTTTAACCTAAAATTCTCTTAATCTAAATAATATAAGATTAAGGTAAAAGATATAAAATTAATTTGAATTTTATATGAATTAAAATATGGAATAGATTTATAAAATTTTAAAAAAACGAGAAATTGATTTTCGTTGTTGATTCTTATTATAATTATAATTGCAATATTTAGTTTCTTCATTGAGGTTTTATATATTATTTTTTTGATTGGATATGAGATTAGAGATATTTTATTCTGTAGAATCGATTGTATTTCTTATATTTTTTTTTTGAATTTTTTGTTGTCGATTCTATAATTTTGTATAATTATAGGCAACGGGATTCTAGAAAATTTATGAGAATTTTATTTTTCTGTATTTAGAATCTAAAGATATTTATCGATTTGAAATTTACTCGTATATCGATATGAATAGATATTAACAAATCTAAATGTAAATTAATTTGATTTTCTGCTATAAATGAGAAAATATATATGCTAAGATTATATTTTGAATATACTTGTGGGGCGTTAATTATACTAAGAGATTTTAAATGGAACCCATGATTTACGTTTAATGGGTGTATTATATGTCGTATTTAAATTCGGGCGACGAATGATTGATATTTTGAGATTTTTAAATTAATCTAATGAGTTTTGACTAGAATTTCTCTTTGGTAGGGTTATTCTTGAGCATTCTTTTTGGAATATGTTGCCTAAAGTAACCCCTTTATTCGTTAGGATTCTCTTTCTAAAGAAAATAGTTCGAATTGAAATGTTTTAGACAGATACGAGCGTAGTCTTGTAGCAAAACCTGAAATATTTTGTCAAAATTCTATGAAAAAGCTGCATTAATTAGCCCTACGCGGGAATTCTGGGATATAAAATTAAGGTTCATGGTTATGTCAAAAGTAGCTTATATTGAATATATTAAAAATTCTCTATTTAAATCTTAGATTCTATATCTTCTGAAATTCTGTCTTTGATAAATGATTTGATGGCGGACAAATATTCTTTTGATTCTTATAAGTTGGAGTCCTCTTTGAGGAGTCGTCTTCGTCGTAAGCACAGGAGTTTTGGGAATTTTCAGGATTACGCTTCTAAGATATTGGATGATTTAGATTTAAATCGAACGATCTGAATTGAGATATTGATATTATATCTGCTTTTGAGATATGGCAAGCATATAATTATGATATGGGTCTGATCTGTCAAGGATTTTGAAGATATAGGCATAAGGAAGACGTCGATTATTTCCGATTTTATTATAAAGATAGATAGTTCAGGATCTATAATTGTAAATTTATATGATCCGTCCGTATAAATGAATCCCTGAAGCGATATTTGACATTTAATTTTAAATATCTGATCTTTATTTTGAATATTTCAGGCAAGAAATTTTTGAATTTTAAATCGTTAAGTCCTGAATAATTTTTAGAAATTGATCTAAATATATGATCTCGAATACTGACTATAATATGGAAATAATTAGCCCCGAGGGTTTATTAGTTTAGGTCTATAATCAAATTCTGCAAAATGTACAGATAGAATCAGGATTTCTTCGTCTCTCTTCAAAGAGTCGGCGGTAGTCATCCAGATCCAGAGTTCTGTCAATTCCAGATTGAAGAATTGTAGCTTAAGGCTTAGGATTTACCGCCACGAATTGGGGAGGAAAGGGATCATTATATCGCAAGTCGGATCAAATGAAGTTTGCCCCTCCATTCATGCACGTGTTAGAATCTATTTCTAAGCCCTGGTCGATAAAATCTATCCAGAAGAATCTCTGGATTTCTCGATTGCTGGACGGCAGGGAGGTAAGTCCGTCACATATCTTGTTTCTATATTTGTGACGTATATGAATATCCGTGATTGATTGAGTGATTGAGCATACGTGAATATGGATATCTGTCTATATTCATATCTCTCTCTCTCTCTTATTCTCTATCTGTATTTCTCTGATTCTCTGGATCTATATATCTATCTATAAGAATATTTGATTCTCTATGTCGATAATTGTTTAGACCTCTATATCGTGAGGACGAAAATTTTGATTTATTAGATCTATCTTGTCTTCAGATATCTTGTGGAGTAGCGGAGTTCCGTCAAGTACGATTTACGTGGTTTGATCAGCGGAATATTTTCGAAATTATACTACTTTAATATTCGGAGGAAAATTTGGCTGGTCTTATTTATTAATATTCTATGGGGGAATCGGGACCTTTCTTTTCAAGGAAATAAAGAATAGGTCAAATTTTCGTCCCATCATAATATGTTTGTCTATTTGTTTGCCTGTTTGCCTATGGATATGTGCCTCTCTCTCTGTCTGTCTGGGTGCGTCTGTGTGTTTGTTGTTCGTAGGTCAGTACGGATGTATATGTGAGTCTGTGTGCGAGTGTGGTTGTACGTGTATCTATACGTGTGGGTGTCTATATGAGATGGTATATATTTATGAATATAAAGATATGAGAATATATTTGATTATATCTCTAAATATATATCTTTATGGATCTCATTATATCTATTTGGATCTGCTTATATCTATGCATATCTATAGATTTGTGTATGTCTACACATATCTATATATATTTCTAAATATAATTAACCTTTCTTTTTATCTTTCTGTATATATGAGTCTATAATATTATTAATATATTTTCTAGAAATCGTTGATAGAATCGATGGATTCCCTGAGTTGAGACGGAGGAATTCGATTTATTTCTCAATAAATTTTTTTCAGAATTCTATTCATTTTATTTAGTTTTCAGAATCTATTATTATAATTCTCATA